AAATCTTTGTATCTGCAGGTAATGTATATAAAGAAGCTTTCTGTGAATGGCTTCCCAGTATACAAATGCCAGTATTTTCAGTAATATTCACCATGGATTGCTCCAATGTGGACAACAGCCATTTACACTAGAATCATCTATTGGTAAGAAAAAAACTTTTTGTTATAACTCAATAACCATAACCTCCAGCTATGGTGTTGCTAGAACATCTTAAATCTCTAGTTTGGAAGAAAATTGCAGAAACCTCAATATAATCAAGATGAACTGATCAGGCTTCGATATCTGTATGACAATCAAATTTGTTTTGATCCCCTCAAAATCATATCCTGAGGAAACCATCAGAATGCTTTGTAACCATATGAATATTTATATACTCAGCAGATTAAAGCATTTCTGTCAAAATACACCATGCTACATAAACTGATTCACCCTGAAAGCTCTGTCATTTCCGAGCCCTGTCATTTATAATGAACATTACATTAATCTCCATGCTGTATGTTTTTGAGATATTTCTGGTAGATGGAAAAGAATCTAAAGGTGTCCAGGTATCCCAGCAAATTTGCAAAGCAGTACACCGTGTGGTGTTTGGGCTTCAATGCACTGGTCTACATGGCTCTGTCTTGGAACGGCTGTACCTCCATTTACAAAATACAGTTAATCTGAGCCCCAAGGTAAGAGCATGGTCAGTCATACAAATCGTGACCCAGTGATGAGTTATGAAATTAATTAAGTGTCACAAACAGATCATTTTTAAAAAAGCAGAAAAGAATAGGGTAGAAAGTATCAGAAGTGGTTACCGTGATAAGAAAAGATCATTTCAGGAAGCTTTTGTTTCTGTCAAATATCTGTGTACATCCTCCCAGATGATGATGTAACATGCACATCTTACAAAGTGCTAAAGCTTTTGCATTAGAACACATCAGCATCACCTTCTAGAAAAATCTATGTGAGTTCATAAGGATTGTAATGTTTGTCCATGGTAGCAAAATAGATCTACGCTCCAGTGTTTCCCAGTGTGGGTCACGGAATTGCCAGTTAAGAATATCTTCAGGAGCTTTTTAAAAATGCAGGTGTGAGGCCTCACCTCAGAACTATTCAGAAGAATCTACACAGCTGAGCTTAGCATTAGCACCTCAGGTTTTCCTGGTGCAAGGTCTGAGGAATCCTTCCCTCTTCCCTTCTTTGTCTACCAAAAGAGAGTCAGAATGATTCTATTTTATTAGGATAACCACCATGGTCTAGGCCATCAGAGGCAATCCTGCAAGGGACAGTTCCGAACCGAGCCCCATACCCGGTGTGCAGTTCACACCTGCTCCTGGCTGTGTGGACCCAGGCACAGACAACTGAAGTCATCGTTGAAATAAACATCCAGGGGTGTGACTGCTGGCCGTACACCTTCCTCCGTCTCTTAAAGACTGCATGACGTCTTTTGCCATGCCACTTTGCTGCAGGCAGGATCTGACAAGTTTCTGCAGTATTTGCTGCCTGGCTAAGACCTGCTCTCAGCATGGATTAGGACTAGATGCTTATGCAGACCTCAACACTTACCCACGACAGCCACCCAGACTGCCGACCCAGCAGCCCTTCCAACATGTGCCTTGTCAACCCAGACCTGTGAAAATCAGGACAGCCCACGTCCTACCTGAATTGTGATAGACCAGTAAAGAGTTGGTTAGGGAACTTCAGAGCCTATTGTGTCTACGGTCAAACATCCCTGGGCAGGAAATTCTTTATTCTTCACATTAATACTTGCTGTTGCTCTAAATGTAAATCTCCTACAACTTCCCTCAGAAGTCAATTCCAATAATGCATCTCTGCTTAAAATATACACATATATCCTCATATATATATATAGAATTTAAAGATAACATGAATCTTTCCATGAACTTTTTGAAGTACCTTCATATATATATATATATATATATATATATATAAAGATTCATGTATATACATATCAAACTTAATATTTTTTCTTTATCTCTGATGAAAATATTAAAATATTGATCAACAATATACTGCACATCAACCCTTCCAATAACCAATATTTTGAAATAAATTAGCCGCTGAGTTTTTATTTCTCTATAAAGTTGTGCAAACTACTTCGGCCTCCACTCTCCTAGCTGTAATAGCAAATGACTCTTTTAAATTCCGAGGCTTATGCTGATTCTCCTCACGTCTGCTTTTCGTACTTACGAATGTCTGTTAAATATCAATTTGCCTGGAGTCGGGACTAAGCAGGTGTCTGCTCACAGGGTCTTTTATTCTTTTGTTGCTAAGTCTGCCCTTTTTCTCCAGCTGTTTGTGAGCTTTCCATAGGGTTTTATTAAATGCCAGTAGTTCACAAACACAACCCTCTGTTCCAGGTTAACCCAAGCACTTTAACTTTTATCCCTCTGATACGTTTAGCTCCTAATAAAATTTTACGTGAAATATGGCTCAGCTTTAAAACAAATTTGAAAATCACTGCTTGGGGTAGATGATGCTGTGTGTTCACTATATCTGTTTCATGTTCTTTTTCCTGGGCGCACCCAGGAAAACCATATCTCAGCCCCATGTCAAGTCAGATTGAGACAGATTGAGACATGGAGCTGTTCTGCAGCCCTGAATGAAGTGGTATGATCCCTTCCACAAGGAGGGAAGGAAAAGTCCCAAGTGACCCTCTACTCTTTTCCTCCTGTGGTTGCAATCGTGGAGGCCATGATCAAGATGACAGAGCCACAAGATCTTAGCAACCTGGATCTATGAGTCTCTGTGTGGAGCAAAGCATCTTTGGAGCATCACACAACCATCAATAGATTTCGCAGGGGCAGGTAATAAAATCCACAAAGACATTGTCCATTTTGACTGACAAACAATGAAATGGGTATGAGAAGCAGGATGCTAACCAAAATAAAAACTTAAATTGTGTGATGCTATCTCATCAGTTGGGCAGCTAGGACATACAGCGACCCCTAAATCCAAGTCCCAGCGGCTAAAGCTGAGAATGATTATGACAGATGACCAGTTTATATAGTTCACACTTAAATCAGAATTTATTCTGATTGAAATTTGGCGGTGATGTGAACTGCAGGCGTTATCCATTCTAGTTTTGTCTTATTTTGGGGTTGTGAGAGGAAGTGATACTATCAATAGCAAATTTTGTGTAAGCCACTCAGTCTGTTTGGAAACTCAAGTCATAAGTGAGTCTCTCTCAGAGCTGAGTAAAACGCTTCTGTGATATTAGAGAGGCATACTAAGATAGACCCCAAGATTCACCTATCACATAATCAGTGAAATCATGAATACTGGATTAGAGTTGCACCGTGGCCACTACTCTGTTTCATAACTAGAAGCAGGAAAGAGTTGGAGGAACTGCCAACCACTCCCAACCTCCAGTAAAGCATCAACCTTAGGCACACAAGAGATTGACAGAGGGACGCAATGTCTTCCACGTAAGGAATAAGAACATCATTTGCACACAGTAAGTTACGTCTGACCATTGTCACCAACCGTAAATCACGCAGCTTCTGCATACCCTAAACACATAGTTTCTTCTTGGACCTAGCATTTTTGTCTCTTAAAAAAAGTCAGTTTTTAGGGCCGGCCTGGTGGCGCACTGGATAGTGCGCCGCTTGGGAAGCGCGGTGGCGCTCCCGCCCGAGGGTTCGGATCCCACATACAGACCGGTTCCCGCTCACAGGCTGAGCAAGGTGCGGGTGCAACACCGAGGGTTGCGGCACTCCCGCCCGAGGGTTCGGATCCCACATACAGACCGGTTCCCGCTCACAGGCTGAGCAAGGTGCGGGTGCAACACCGAGGGTTGCGATCCCGTTGCCGGTCCCCGGTCCGGTACGGGGGCAACACTGAGGGTTGCGATCTGTTGCCGGACACGGAAAAAGACAAAAAAAAAAAAAAAAAGTCAGTTTTTAAATTACATCTCCTAATACACTTTTCTTCCATCATGATAACTTTTCTTTCATTGTTAGGATGGATTTTACAATTCTGTGTCATGTGAATAATTATTATCTATTTTCCCCGTGTACTTTATAATCTTTCAATCATCCAAGAAAGCTCTTTTAAATTTTCCATAGAGTTTAAGTCGTTATAAAGACTAAAAGTCTGATTTGCAGATAGGAATTTCCATTTCTCTTTAAAGTACTGTCTTCTGAAGTTACAAATGGAACCAAACTGTTTTGTTTATTTGCTTGTTTTGAAGAGTGAGTGTTCCTGACATAGCTTCTGCATTATATCTATTTAATTATATCTATGCAGCCTATAGATAATAAGTACAGTTATACATCGCCTAATGATGGGGATACCTGAGACATGTGTCATTAGGCGATTTAGTCATCGAGCGAGCATCACAGATGGCACTTGTGCTAACCTAGATGGCGTAACCTACTACACACCTGGGCCATATGTTACAGCCATTAAAACCTTATGGGACCACCACTGTAGATGAGGTCTGTCATTACCAAAACACTGCTATGTGGCGCATGTCTGTATTATTATATATATATATATATATATATATATATATATATATATATATTCTATCTGTCTATAACTCAGGATTGTTGTCTGTTCTTCCATTGAAGGTTATTCTATGGGTGATTGCCACCCCCCAAACCATGAACTAAATGGGACCTAACAGACCCACAACAGAGAATCCACTTCACCCAGTTTACCCACAGAGCTGTTTTGCTCAGAGTTTGGCCTGAAATATTTCGGATCTTTCCAGGTTGTTTATATCATGATGACAACCTCTAGACTGAACATATATACCATGACGTTTCTTCTCTTGATGACCACATTTGGACATGAACGACTGTGGTGACACCAGATGCTTCCTCTGTCAGCAGACATGTCTCGGCATGGCCTCACAAGCATAGGGCTGGGGCAGGCTGGCAACGTGACCTGAGCAGAGCCCCCTGCATTGTCACGCTGCTTCTCCCAGCTCTGCTGGAAACCACCGGGCACTGTTTCTCCCAGGCAGCACCAGAGCAAAAGGCGATACCCACCGCTGGACGAACTGCAGGGCTTCCATCGTCAGCCTCTGGGTGAGATTGTCATAAGACATGGGCTGCTGGGTGATTTCGTAATTCCTCATCAAGAAGCAGTTCAGGGTCCGGAAGAAAAGCAGGAAGCACAGGAAAAGGCCGAGGATCACGGCCGCCAGGAGGAGCAGGCAGAAGAAGACCGCACGAGGCACGTGGAGCAGCCCCAGGCCACGCAGCACCACCAACGTGAGGACGGTGACCCCAAGGACCTGCAGAGGGCTGAAGACCAGCACCCTGAAGGCTGTGCCGAAGACAGTGCCTTCCCCAGGTTTGCAGTCTCTCAAGTTGGTCACGGGCAGCCCATAGAAATAATCAAAGCCATGGCGTAAAGGGTGGTGGCAGAAGTCCATCCTGCTGTGACAGCTCATCCCCAGGTGCCACTTTCCTGAGAAGATAAACCGGTGACACCTTTAGCCCCAATAAACACCCTGATTGGAAAACACTGGCCTCTGGGGCTCACACGCAGAAAAGTGGGCTCTTCCTGTGTGTTTTACCAGCAGAATCTTCACACTCATAGGGCCTCACCGTTCTTCACATCCTTTTCCGTAAACGCTGGGGTATTAGCTACTCACTTTCCCAGAAAATAAGAACTAATCTGGTCATTAAAAAACAAACATAAAACAAAACAAAAACAAAACAACCTAGCACCTTTGATAGGCAGGAAACAACTACATAGAAAAATATAAGCATTTTTTCCTGGACAGACTCTTTTTCCAAGACACACCGTGAAAATTAAAGTTTTAGAACCAACTGGCCTGTTAAAAGTGGGAACAAATCCTTACTCAAAAACCTACCCCCTGGGGCCGGCCTGGTGGCGCACTGCGCTAGTGCGCCGCTTGGGAAGCATGGCAGCGCTCCCGCCGAGGGTTCGGATCCCACATACAGACCGGTTCCCGCTCACTGGCTGAGCGAGGCGCGGGGGCAACACCGAGGGTTGCGATCCCGTTGCCGGTCCTGGTCCGGTACGGGGGCGACACTGAGGGTTGCGATCCGTTGCCGGACATGGAAAAAAAGACAAAAGACAAAAAAAAAAAAAAAAACCTACACCTGGGGCATGAAGAAATCCTACTCAGTAACTCAGCAATTATTTTAAACACCTTGAAATTTTCTTATAA